ACGTTTCCTCACTCCCTCATCTTTCACAAGCATTTGATCAATTCAAAATAAAGCAGAGTGATTGCTTCCTATAGAAATGGTATTTCTACTGGTGAAGACTAACATTTCCCTTCTTCACAGCCCCATTACTCATATTCAGTTTGAAATCAGCTATTCCAATTGTATTGTTCTTGCCAAGTTAAATATCCCCCATTTTATACCTGGGCCTTTGACTTCTATCATGTAAATGAGAAACTTTGCATTTGTCTCGGTTGCAGTTCATTATATTTTTAGCAATTTTCTCTAACCTATCAAGATCATTTTGAATTCCAATTTTGTGTTATGTAAAATTTAATAATCATTCTCTATCTGTCCTCATTCAATCCATTAATAAAAAAATATTAAAAAAATATGGGAACCTTTGGGCACTCCATCAACAATTCACTGTTGATGAAGCGCTAATGAGCCCTCCTCAAATATGATATTCAAATAAGCTCTCTGTGTACCTGATTTGCAGGCCATTCAGTTCATTCCGCAATTAGCTTGCTAATCAGGCTGACAGTGCTTTACAAAACCCCTTGCTGAAATCAAGATAACCTATGCATGCATCTTTCCCATAGTTTATAAATTGGAACTAGCTGGTTTTTTTAAAAAAATAGTTAAATGTAGCAAAGGCTTCCTGAGACCTCTAGGCTGATTTCTAGTAATTGCCATATTGTTTTCAGAGTGCTTAAAAATCTGCTCTAGAATTTTCTGAGGTTGTCTGATCTACAATTCCATGGATTTCCCTTTTCTCCCTTATTTCTTTTTTTTTTTTTTTCCTGATTTTTGAAGTAGGGACGAATTGACCCTTTCACCAGTTCTTGTTGTTTAATATCCTAAACTTTAATTCATCTGATCCTGAGATTTAAATTCATCCAAAATAGGTAGATACTTCAAAATGATGTTTACATTTCTATCCTACTCCTTTCCCTTAGTGTTCACAATTGCTTGGTGGAACATAGATGCTCTTGTTGGAGAAATCTCAGACCAATAGGAGTAGCTACAGTATGCTTTTGCTCTGTTAACTGTTAACATTTTACTATCTTCATACAGCAGTTGGTAAACTGAATCTTTTCATTTAATATATTTAAAGAATTTTTTAAAAAGAGTTCTTCATGAAACTCAGCTTACTCTGACTTGTAACCCTTTTAATATCATCTTTATAACTGCAGCCTATTAAAATGTATCCTTCCTTATTTCTCTTTCAACATTTTGATTTTTGCTTTGTTTTGTCATTAGAACTTCACTAAGTTTTTACCTAGACATGTTGGTATCCCCCACAGGGTTCCATTTTTAATTCCTTCCATTTTTATTTGAGTAGGAGTTTGAATCAATGAGTTCCATCAGATTCTTCTGGCCTGGAATCTTAGCTCTGAGCTGATTAAAAGTATACAGTATAGAATATAGACAGTGAAGGCCAGGAACATAGTATTCTTTCTACTTCATTTGTTGAGCGATTTAAGAGAAACCATTTTGAAGAATAATTCTAATTCCTTCTGTCTTTAGCCTGCCGTAGTTCACTATGTAAATATGTTTCTCTCAGTCCTTTGACGTGCATCCCAACTTACGCCAGTAGTTTATCAGACAGAAATTCAGACACGGGTCAGAGAATCATGCAGAGTTATGATAGCCATCTCCAAGTATCCGCAAGGCTGGCATGTACAAGATGAGAAAGAATTGCTGTAGAAGGCAGCGGAAAAAATGGATCTAACTTAGAAGGAAGTAAATTTTGATCAGTATTGAGACAGACTTCCCTAAGAGGAGGCCGATCAGGAATCAGAGGGAGTCGGATGTGCCCCAAATGACCAGTAAGTACTGCTCTTACTTTACCCAGTACTGGCTACTTTGATTTACCTGCAATGTTATGTGTGGTCAGGTATAACAGATTTTATATGGCTTGTAGTTAAAAACAACAAAACACTTTCTCATATGGGCTGGGGATGAGACAAAAGCAAAATCATTAGGACATGGCAGAAAAGAGACACTGCCAAGTTATACTGTTGATGAGATTAATCCAATCAAAATCTTTATTATGAACTTTAGGCCAGGAAACACTTCAATAAAAACATTTTGTTGTTAGTTGCGAAGTCATGTCCAACCCATCGCGACTCCATGGACAACGGTCCTCCAGGCCTTCCTGTCCTCTACCATCTTCTGGAGTCCATTTAAGCTCATGCCTACTGCTTCAGTGACTCCATCCAGTCACCTCATTCTCTGTCGTCCCCTTCTTCTGTTGCTCTCAATCTTTCCCAGCATTAGGCTCTTCTCCGGTGAGTCCTTCCTTCTCATTAGGTGGCCAAAGTACTTGAGTTTCAACTTCAGGATCTGGCCTTCTAAAGAGCAGTCAGGGTTGATCTCCTCTAGGACTGACTGGTTTGAACGCCTTGCAGTCCAAGGGACTCGAAGGAGTCTTCTCCAGCACCCTAGTTAACCTGTAATTAATAAAATTAAACAGTAGACATAAAATGCAACAAAAATACATAAGGTAAACAAAATAACAACACAGATAACAATGGCAATTACCAAGATTTGTACTATGGGTAGTACTCAGCTTTATGACCACAACTGAGTCCAGAGTTTCTATTGCTAGGCAAATGATCATTAAGTGAGTCATGCCCAGTTTTATGACCTTTTTTGCAATGGTTATGAAGCAAATCGCTGCAGTTGTTAAGTGATTTACACAGTTAAGTGAATCCAACTTCCCCCATTGACTTTGCTTCTCCCAGAAGCTTGCTGGGAAGGTCACAAATGGTGATTGCATCTTTCCAGGATGGTGCAACTATTGTGAAATGCCAGTTGCATGAGTTTTTATTGTGTGATTGTGAGGATTTAGCTATTGTCATAAGTGCAGGTACCAGCCATAAGTTACTTTTTCTTTCAGTGTTGTAACTTTGAGCAGTTGCTAAATGAATGGTTGTAAGTTGAGGACTACCTGTCCTCTTTCATGGTAGGTAGGATGGATGGCACAACGGGTGTCACAAAACTGGGCAACTGGGAAAGGCGATGAGTCAGAATGGAAGAAGCTTCTTGGATGAGAAGTGAAACGTCTTCAAGGAAAAAAACCAAGAAAAAGTCTAGTTGTCTTTTGAAAAGTACCTTTGTGATGAGACCACATGGTCCCCAGGGAGGAATTCTGTCTCCTACTCAGTGCTTTTTTTTCTAAAAAAAAAAAAAAAAGGTGCCGGAACTCACACACGTCATACAACCCGCCTTGTCTACCCTACAAGGTTCCATCCAAAAAAGGTGCCGGAACGCCGTTCTGGGCATTCTATGAGGAAAAAAAGCCCTGCTCCTACTTAATCCCCAGTTGGTTCTTCTTAGGATTCTAATTATGCAATTCTATTATGGACATTAGATTTCAAGAGAGATGATTAGAATTCACTGCAAAAACCCCACCACACGTGGAAAGGGTCCCCAGAGAATGAATAAGGTACTGTGTTCCCCGTAGCCAGAAGTAGGCATTTGAGGACTGAGTAGCTGGGGGAGTTAGAATTCCCAGATATGGGCTTGTTTATTATTTTAATTTTCAGAATGTGCACAGTAGATCATTAGTATAGAGAGAAAAATCACGGTTATTAGCTTTTTCTTCGGCAAGGGAATACAAAATAAGATTTTATTTTTCATTCTATTCCCTCTAGAATTAAAAAGCATTTTACGGTGAGTCAGTCCCAGAATCCGTAGGCTACTTAATTCATGATCTGTTTTCTTCCGCTGATGCCTAATGGTAACTCATGAATCGAGCTAGCAAGTAGTTCTAGGATTTTACAACAGTGCATTTGTATTTCACACCAAGACAGAATGAACAATTTGCTGGAGCGGTTGCTCCTAGCTGGCCGGTCTAATCAACAGCAAAAGCTAAACAAGCCCCGAAGCTCAAATTTTGGTTATAATTACTGAGATGAGCCAGTTGGGATATGGGAACCCTTAACATGCCAGGATCAGAAGCCATGGTTTATTCTTGGTTTCTATTTGTTGACTTTGGGGGGGAGGGGAAATAAGAAGAATGGCCTCTGGCAGGAAGAGCCAAGCAGGAGCAATCAAATATGGTATATCTGCAATCTGTTAAAATTCTTGAGAATATAGATAGTCCTTAACTTACAACCATTTGTTTAATAACCATTCAAAATTACCAACTGACTAAAATAAGTGACTTATGACCATTTTTCACACTTACGTCCACTGCAGCATCCCCATGGTCACGTGATCGAAATTCAGATGCTTGGCAAGTGATTCGTATTTATGGCAGTTGCAGTGTCCTGGGATCACGTGATCCCCTTTTGCGACCTTCTGACAAGCAAAGTCAAGGGGGAAATCCAGATTCACTTAATGACCGTGTTACTGATTTAACAACAGCAGTGATTCACTTAACAACCGTGGCAAGAAAGTGGGGCAAATGGGGCAAAGCTCACTGAACAACTGTCTCGCCTAGCAATAGAAATTTTGGGCTCAATTATGGTCGTACATTGAGGATGACCTGTGTTAGCAACGTGTTAAAATTCTTGTGAGTAACTGGGTTTCTGTGACATGCAAATCTAGCCTTTAGACCAGGGGTAGGCAACCTTGGCTCTTTTATGACTCGTGGACTTCAACTCCCAGAATTCCTGAGCCAGCCCTGCTGAGGGGAAAGGGAGAGGTTTCCAAGCTGAGTCATGCTGGCTCAGGAATTCTGGGAATTGAAGTCCACGAGTCATAAAAGAGACATGGTTGCCTACCCCTGCTTTAGATGTTCCTTCTGGAACAATAGTTACCTTCTTTTCATCTCTGCTATTTGAGATTTATTTATTTTTTTGCTTGGATGTACCAGGTTGAAGTCATTTACCTAGTTGACGCTATTATTAATCGTGAATAGGTTTTTTTGTGGGGAGGGGACACAAGGCATTAGTCTTGCTGGATGAGATCATATTTTTTTCTCAATGCCAAGGTACTTCATACGTTCTTAAAACGGACTGAGTAGCCTGTTTTCTTGCTTTTTTGACCAGGCCGGATAGCTGACGTTCAGGGCACAGAAGAGCCTGACTTATACCATGGTTGTTTGGAAGGTAGTTGTTACCCGGCCACAGGAAACCTGCTCATTGGGAGGACCCAAAGCCTGAGCACGACATCAACATGTGGCCTGGAAGAGCCTCAAGAGTACTGCATTGTCAGCCATCTTCAGGTAACACTGGTCAAGAACTTGTGATGTCTAAATAGTATTAAAACAACCACAGAAAAATGTTATTGGGCCAACTATAAAAAGCAGTATACTCCACTGAAGGCTGTACTTACAGTCACTCATGAGCTAGTCACCACCTGGCTGGACTACTATGATGCACTCTACGTGGGACTGCCCTTGAAGAATGTCCAGAAGAAGCTTCAGTTAATAAAGAATGCAACGTTGTGAGCAGTTATGTGTGTTTCTGGAATAGCACACATTACACCTCTGCTCAACAAGCTGCATTGGTTACCAGTCTGTTTCCAGCTCCAGTTTGAGGTGCTGGTTTTGATTTTTAAAGCCCTACATGGCATGGAACCAGGTCGTTTGAAGGACAGTCTCTCCCTGATTACATCTGCTGGTCCCACCAAATCTAGCAGACAGGGCACGATGTGGGTCCCGTATGGCAGGTCTGAGGTGATGGCCTTTTTTTGCTGTTGCCCCCAAATTTATGGAATATTCTTTCCTTTGAAGTGAGGTTTGCCTCATCCCTTTTAACTTTCCAGAAATTCTTTAAGACCTGGTTGTGTCATCAGACCTAGAGGACTCCAGGAGACTGGCAAAATAATGAGATTGCTCGAGTGTAATTAATACCTGTTTTTCTGCCTCTTTCTCCATCTCTCTCTCTTTCCACAGACACAGACACAGACACACAGAGACAGAGTTTTGTGCCTTTAGAATTGTAAAGCTTTTAATAACAAAAAACTTAATATTTCATTGTATACCTTCTTGTTGCATGCCACCCAGAATCACTCACCTGTGAGCATCAGATTGGAGGGGGAAAATTTGGGGGGCAGAAAATTAGATGATCGAAGACAAGAGATAAGAGTTGGAGAGTTGGAGAAGAGGGACACAATGGCACTAAAGTCCTCCTGGTCCATTTAAGAATCCTGTAGCTTTCTTGGTCAATAAGTTATACTACCCCACACGTTATATGATACAGAGATGTCCCCTGATACAGTTCTGATGCTCCTTCACATAAGATAGCTAAACACAAAAGAAATTCCTCACAATGCTGTCTTGGGCAGCAGTGAGTGACTAGATAGAGCTATTGCAGAATGTAGCACTTCGATTTATATACCGCTTCACAGTGCTTTACAGCCCTCTCTAAGCAGTTTACAGAGTCAGCATAGCCTCCCCCCCCCAACAATCTGGGTCCTTATTTTACTCACCTCAGAAGGATGGAAGGATGAGTTGCCATTGAGCTGGTGAGAATTGAACCACCAAACTGCAGGCAGCTGGCAATCAGCAGAAGTAGCCTGCAGTACTGCGTTCTAACCACTGCGGCACCACGGCTCATATGTTTATAAGTGTGTTTTGATTGGAATCTATGGGCTACATCCTGGCCACTAGGCATCAGGTTGTCTCTGCAGACCATAGATGTTGTCTCTGGTTAAATACAATATAGTTGTCTTTTGACTAGAACAGGGGCTCCATACTTGACAGCTTAAAGACTTGTGGACTTCAACTGCCAGAATTCCTCATGCTGGCTGGGGAATTCTGGGAATTGAAATCCACAAATTTTAAAGTTACCAAGTTTGGAGACCCCTGGACTAGAGAATACTGGTAACACTCACCGTGAAAGTTATTGAAGGTAAGTGCAGTGCTTTTGTATATTTAAACCAGAATGATTCTTTTGACAGGACTCTGAGAAATGCTTCATTTGTGACTCACGCTCATCCTCCTTCCGTGAGAGCCACCACATTGAGAATGTCATCTACCTTACTGGCCAGAATGGTGAACAGACCTGGTGGCAGTCTGAGAATGGTAAGAATGAGAAATTTGGGAGTTATGGAAACTAATGTTTCATCTTCATTGGTTTCAGATGTCCAGCAACTCCCCAAAATTACACATCTCCAGATCTTGTTGGTCTCCAACAAAACATTTTTCATCACTAGTGTTGCCAGATCTTGGCTGGCTGGAAAAGTCCAGCGGACCCTATATTGGCACCACTATATTTGGACTCTACGACTTTTGATGTCCAGATCTGATAACCCTACTATATTTTTCATGAAGTGAAAAAGAGATTGTGCAAGAAAGAATGCCTGGCCCAAGATCACCAGCTGGCTTTGTGCCTCAGGTGAGACTAGAACTCACAGTTTTCACGTTTCTAGTCCAGGGGTCTTCAAACTTAGCCCTTTTATGATTTGTGGACTTCAACTCCCAGAATTCCTCAGCCAGCGTGCCTGGCTGAGGAATTCTGGGAGTTGAAGTCCACAAGTCATAAAAGGGCCAAGTTTAAAGACCTCTGTTCTAGTCTGATGCCTAAACCACTACACCAAACAGAGTCTGTTCCAAATACCATGCAATTACAATTACCAGTATCAGTCACCACTGGCTAAATTGGAACTACAGGGATCTGTACTTGTAGGAGTCGATGTGATGCCATGGTTAAGAAGTTGAACTAGGACCAGGTCAAGTCCAATTTCAGCAGTGGGAACATTTTGAGCCAATTGTTCTCTTTCTCTTCATCCAACCTATGTTACAAGATTAAAGCTGTGAGAGTAATATGAATGGAGATCTTCAAAAAAACTGCTTTGAGGAAAGGCAGAATATAAATTTAGACACAATTGATTATGTGCCAGTAAATGGTTTCAACTCTTAACAACCACATGGATAGACATTCTCCAGAATGCTGATTCCTATGGTCTTTCATTGAACAATGTTTTTGCAAGTTTGAAGTCATATGGAGAAGATTGCACAAGTTATAGCAGAGTAGTAGAAAAAATAATGTTACCTGCAGCTTTATGGGACTATTTTTAAAGACTTTCAAGAGAAAAGCTGGTCATAGCCTGAGACATTAAATCAAAGTATTTCAGTAAGAATTGAGAATGATGCTTGCTGGCAACCTCCTTTGTATCTTAGACACTTTATCTCTCAGAATGTGCTGTATGATGAGAGCTATAAACAGAATTAAGATCACGCGAAGTATTAGTACCTCTTTATAAAACCCTAGTGAGACCATACCTGGAATACTGCAACCCTTTTTTGTCACCATACTATAAAAAAGATGTTGAGACTTTGGAAAAAGTTCAGAGAAGAGCAAATAAAATGATCAAAGGCCCAAAGACTAAAACATATGAAGTCCGGCTGCAGGATTTGAGTTTGGCTAGTCTAAAGAAAAGAAGAAACAGGGGTGACATGATAGTAGTCTTCCAGTATTTGCGGGGCTGCCACAAAGAAGAGAGGGTCAAATTATTCTCCAAAGCACCAGAGGGCAGGAGAAGAAACAATTGACCAAAGAGAGAAGCAACCTGGAGTTAAGGAGAAACTTCCTAACAGTGAGGACAATTAACCAGTGGAACAGCTTGCCTCCAGAAATCATGGGCGCTCTATCACTGGAGGTTTTTAAGAAGACACTGGACAGACATTTGTCTGAAATGGTATAGGTTCTCCTGCTTGAGCAGGGGGCTGGACTAGAAGACCTCCAGGTCCCTTCCAGCTCTATTCTGTTCTGTTCTGTTTTGCTCTGCTCTGCTCTACTCTACTCTACTCTACTCTACTCTACTCTACTCTACTCTATTCTATTTATTTTATTCTAATCTGAAAGCTTTATGGAAGATTTTGTCTCTGTACATGACCAGAGGAAATGGAGACATGTTATCTAAATTCAGCTTTTTTGCTGCATTCTTGTCATCCTGCCATGCCATCCTCTTTGGGTTAGATAGAAGATGCATGTTTGTTGAAGATAACCCGATTCTTGGAATCTCCACACATAATTTGGAATCCTGAATGACTGAAGTTCTCAGTCATATGGGAAGATGTCATGACACATTAAACTACCTACTGCACCCATCACCCTTCAGTTCATGAAGACAAATGAATGGAGGGGAGTTGGAAAGAGGACGGTGGCGCTAGATAGCAAGTCCCTGCTTTCTGGAGCATTACAAGATATCAAGACTACTTGAGCAGGGTCCGTGAGAAAGGTCTCATTTTTGGCTTTTGTCCCTCTCCAGGTGTAGAGCAGGTCAGCATTCGATTGGACCTGGAAGCTGAATTCCACTTTACTCACCTCATAATGAAATTTAAGGTAATGTACTGAGGAACTAGGAATTGACAGATGCCCTAGAGACGATATTAGATGTTTTGCCTTCATAGGAGATAGAAAAAGTATCTGACAAAAGTATTGAATAGTTCTATTTTTTGATGTTATTAAAAAAAATCAGTGTGTAAATTAATGTGCTTTACTGCAAATACTTAGGTTTTTGGACCAATTTAAGTTTGTGCCAATGGGGGATTTCCTCTCTTTTTTTAAAGAAGTGATTTTTCATAAAAACCCCAGTGGGCAGGGAAGAGTTTAAAGATCTCCCTGCCTGCTGCACGTCTGATTATTATTCCATGCATGCATCCCAGTGGCTATTTGCACTTGTGAAACTCATACGTGTTAATACAATACTATCGTTAACCTTTTAGTTGGCACTTAAATGTTACCCACTTGACAGGAATTTCTGTTTTTAATCTAGAACCCCTTTTGAAGGGTGTATAGATGTTGCTTATGTCTAGAATCAACTTGATTCTTCTCAGATTTGTTGGGCCAGAGCTCCATAACTTCAAGTCAGTCGCCATGCTGTTTTGGGTTGCTGGGATTTGCAATCCAGAGACTCAGCCTCAGAATAAGCTACCTATAGTGTACAGCTGAAGAGCCAGCTTGATATGGGATCCTCTGGTCCATGAGTAGCGGAAACAATGTTGACATAACTTTGCTCTTTTTTTGTGACTGATCTCAGCAATGTTTTATAGTGACGCCAGTGAGTGAAACTATCCCAGACATGTCAAACACAAGGCCCGGGGGTTGGATGCAGCCCACGAAGTGGTTTTATGTGGCCCGCGAAGCCATCCTGGAAACAGTGAGGGAACGGCCCCCACTCCCTTGGCCCTGGCCCAGGTCAGCCGGGAGCCAATTTACAATTTTGTGGTGGCCATCTATGCTGAAACACATTCAGTCTTAGCTCCACAAGGCCATCTGGAACCAGCGAGGAACCAGCCCCTGCCATGTTGGCCCCTCCCCCTGGTGCATGCTGGGGAGGTGTCACCCTTTGTGAGGAATGAAGAAATGCACCATCGCCTGAAGTGGCCAGCAAATGGCCCTCGCCTACTTCACATATCTGGCTTGAAGGGCTCCGGCGGAGGGGTTTCAGCAGGCAGTGAGGCTCCTCCAGTGGACCATGCCTTGGCACTTGCTCCGGTCCCACCCCCTTCTGCCAGAGACCCTCAGATCTGTCCCAGTCCTGCCCAGGCCCCCACAGGCACCCTTGAATCGAATGATGTAGAGCTGGCCATGCCCACCCAATAGGCCACACCCACTCCATCCACACCTACCCAGTAGGCCACACCCACCCTGCCCCCCCACCCTGCTCCCCCACCCGCCACCCCCAAGGGCAACCGCAATGCTGATGCGGCCCTCAATGAAATTGAATTTGACACCCCTGAACTATCGTAACAATTCATTGCAGGGCATGTTAGGTGCAGCAATTGGTGGATTTACCTCGATGTGGCAGAAACATCCATATGTTGGTCCCCCAAGCAGATCTGGGATGGTGGGAGGAGATATCCTGCATCAGAATGCTAGATGGGTCCAGTCATCAGTCAAAACCTGATTGAGGGGAGGGGAGCATTAAAACATGTGACACCCTTCCCTTCTATTTCATGGGACTCCCTGAATCACTGCAGCATCTGATCCAACAAGGTGTTATGACAAATTGACACACAACTCTCTGGGACAAGTCCTGTAGGTATTCCACGGGTGGAAATATGTAAGAAAAGTACTAGTAAAATAAAAATGTATTATATTCTTAAGCAAGTCATCGGAACTCTTCCATAATATCATGGAAATATACTGCAGAAATTGAATAAATGAATGAATGAGTGAGTGAGCGAGTGAGCGAGCGAACGAACGAACAAACGAATGAATGAATGAAATATGCAGAAGGTCTGGGGAGGGGAGAAAGTGAATGAAAATCAAACTTGCAAAGTTGTTCTGTATTAATCGTTGAGAAAATCTTTATTAGTAAGAATATCTAGAATTTGATAGGAGAAATAAGGATTGTAGCGGGATTTATGATAAGGCAACCAAAATGACTGAAAAGAAAAGAAATACTATACTAATATGATGATTATTTTTTAGGAATATTGGAAAAATTATATATTTCATGGTTACTCATCAGAACAATAAGAATTGTATTAACTCAATGTTCGCAAAAAAGGATATTTTGGGGAAAGAGGAAATCAACCAAAATTAATATATGGAACACAGATTATAGAAATTAATTGTTAAGGATTGTTTCACAAATGTTATCCAGACAACACACTGTTTACCAATTATTGAGTGACTTACGTTTTGTTAAAAAAATAAATAAAAAATCTATCTAAAAAAAAGAAAAAGAAAATCAAACTTGCATCTAGAAAAGCCAGTCTCTTTTGTTCTCAAATACCTGACTTGTTTTGGTATTCATGTATGTTTTGGACATTTTAATGCAGAGACCATCTCTTATTGGTTCACAGGGAAGAGCAGTGACAAATATTCTCCAGTTGACTCCTTTCTTCCTTCTTTTTCAGACTTTCCGTCCTGCAGCCATGCTCATTGAGCGCTCATCAGATTTTGGACAAAGCTGGAAAGTTTACCGCTACTTTGCCTTCAATTGCTCCAAGCTCTTCCCAGCAGTTCCCACTCAGATCCCAACACATGTCAATCAAGCAATGTGCGACGAGCGATATTCCGAGATTGAGCCCTCCAGCTATGGTGAAGTCAGTGCTATTCTATGGAAGTAGAATGAAATGCAATTGGCAATATCCCTTGGAAGACCAGAGAATTATATCTCTGTAATTATATGATCAAGCTGGGGAAGATAAGCAATAAGTCTTTATTTATTTGAGCAGATTAAAATCCACCCCCCCAAATTCACCACTGTTTTCTATGCAGTTCTGGCAACATAAGCTCATTCATAGCTCAGTTTGTCTCTCTGGACCGGGATTAACGGAACTAGAATACAAATAGATACTTAACTCTGAGAAAGGGCTACAGTCTGATAGCAAACATAATTTGCAGGCAGGATATTCTAGATTTAATTTAGGTAAGGACTGTGAAAGTTTTTAAGGTGAGCTGCCTGTCAGTGCGGAAAATATAGAGGGAAGAAAAAATAATGGTCTAATTCACTGTAGTGCAGTTCACCGTGTTCACGAAATAGAAAGATCAATCAGACGTTCAAACTAATTTTTAAGCAGCAGATAAGAACGTAGAATCTCAAGCTCTGAATATCAATGCAGGCAGCCACAATTGTCGAAAGTAATTTGGAAAGCAGCAAAGCGTACTTTGGTTTTGGAGGTGAATCTCTTGGGGCTAAATGGATGAGGTACAATTCTATGGTTTATCAAACAGTAGCCACGGGAATATGAAAATTAAACTGGGAGTATGACCCTGAAGGAAACTGGTCAATTTCGTCTGATTTGTGAGAACCTTTTGTTAAAAGTTTAAAAAGAGAGAAGCAACCTAGAACTAAGGAGAAATTTCCTGATAGTTAAACAATTAACCATTGGAACAGCCTCCTCCAGAAGCTGTGAATGCTCCAACACTGGAAGTCTTTAAGAAGAGATGGGACAACCATTTGTCTGAAATGGTGTAGGGTTTCCTACCTGAACAGAGGGTTGGACCAGATGACCTCCAAGGTCCTTTCTAACTTTATTATTATTATTATTATTATTATTATTATTATTATTATTATTATTATTATCTTTTATTCATTAAACATGAACCTCAGTCAACTGAACATTCAAATTGGCTGGCGTTGATGGTTGGCACGAGTTGCTACCAGCGTATTATTATTATTATTATTATCATCATCATCGTCATCATCATCGTCATCATCATCATCATTATCATTATCATTATGATTTCCTTACATAGATTACAGCTAAGCTAGCATGTCACATTTTGCTTGCTCCTCATCTAGGAAGAGCGGGCTAGAAAGTCCAGAGCAGATTTGACAAGTACAAGTGGTCCTCGGTTTATGACCATAATTGAGCCTGGAACATTGCATCATTAAACGGGTCACCAGAGCTGTGGGTGGTGCAGTGGTTAGAATGCAGTATGGCAGGCTAACTCTGCCCACTGCCAACAGTTTGATCCTGAGCAGTTCATGGTTGACTCAGCCTTCCATCCTTCCAAGGTCAGTAAAATGAGGACCTAGATTGTTGGGGGCAAATATTCTGGCTCTGTAAACTGCTTAGAGAGTGCCATAAAACACAATGAAGCAGTATATAAGTCTAAATGCTATTGGCATTGCTGCCCTGTGACCAGACCTGATTTTACGACATATTTGTGGCAGTCGTTAATAGAACACAATGCTCATTTTAACTAATCTATTTTATCAAGTGGGCGGGTTTTGACAGAAGCCAGAAATAAATGCCGGAAACTGGCAAAACCCGTCAAAAATCACTATGACAGGATGCTGCAATGACCATAAAAGTGAGCTGGTTACCAAACATCCAATATGTGAAAATGCAATTGCAGAGTATGTGTGTGTGTGGCTGTCATAACTTTGAAGTCAGGATGTAAGTAGGTTGCATGGAGTCCGTCAAAAGTCGATGATTACCGGTACTAAGTTTTGGATACACGACTTTAGCCCTGACAGAATTGGGCTCCAGGTTTTTCTGTTTAACTACTACCCTATCAACAATGTTAAAAAAAGGTGCCAGTTAAGATAAGAAAAAAATATTCTAAGCATTCGTAGTTTCCCTATCCACAGGCCAGAGAGAGATATCAAGGAATTTCTCCCTAATATCTTCAGTTCTAAGTAAAGCAGCTGGGACCAAATCTCTTGGCCTTTTTATATCTAAATATGCTATTCAGCTCAAACTTAATTCTTTACATGGGAGATTTTTTTTCCCATCTCAAATCCAGTGTATTTCTCAACAGCTCATTTTAACTTTAGCTCAGTTGTCTTTTTTTAGGGCAGATTCCTGAATCTGTAGCATTAAGGTGATGGGAAAGGTCAGCCTTATTTGAAATTCAGGGCCTTGTGATGCCACTAAATATGAGAACCCCTTTCATAGTGGCAGTGTTATTATGATATGCCGGATTTTGTATCTGTGTAACCCAGCTTTTTAAAAGATATCTTTTATGTGTTTATGTAGTTTATTCACTACTTTGGATTTCTTATTTTGAAGGGCTGACATGATTAATTATTATTAGACCAAGTCATTGCCTAATTTACTTAACAGCCTTGCCCTAACTCTTTGCCTTGGACATTGATCTTGATAAAAAGAACTCAGTGACTTTGTAGATTGTCCTTGACATACGATTGGTTGCATAAATTACCATTTGTGATCACAACAAACTTCAGAAAAGCTACTTAAGACCCATCCTCGAGGTTACAACTGCTGCAATCCACCACCTCCTTATATTTACAACCAGTTGCAACTTCCTAGGTTTATTTGACTACGATTTGCAACTTTTTTGCTGTTTTCCAGAAGAAAACAGGAAAAAACACCCATTGGCTATGCCGGATTTGCTTAATGATTGCATGGTTGACTTAACAACCATGGTGACTTGCTTTACAACCATTGTAAAAGTGGTCATAAAATTGAGTCAGGTCAAATGGTGACTAGACTTACGACTGCAACGACGTATGACTGAAATTCTAGCCTCAGTTGTGGTTGTAAGTTGAAGACTACCTCTATGCTCTTAGGAAGTGAGGGAAAGCTTAGATGCATCTTTTAACTTCTCTCTCTCTGCAGGTCATTTTCAAGGTACTAGACCCTGCTGTGAAAGTAGAAAACCCCTACAGCCAGGAAATCCAAGGTATGGCTTCAATGGGAAGTAAGGAAAAATTGCTTCTGAAAATTGAAAAGAAATGTTGCGAAAGGTTAAATAAGGTTGCCAAGGCTTTAGATACTGACACAGAGTTATGCTTGCAATTATAGCAAAAACCTTAGCTTGAGTATAGGATTAGGGTGGAGATTTGTTCTCCAAGCTTGTGGATTGGTTTCTGAACGCTTCATTATCAGGCTCGGTGTCCCTGTTTCCCCAAAAATAAGGCCTACCTCGAAAATAAGCTGTAGCTTGATTTTGGGGGATGGGCCTAATATAAGCCCTATCCCCAAAATAAGCCCTAGTTTTGGGGCGAGACACACACCTAAAAATCAAGCTGGGGCAGGGGTATGGATCTGTCCCATGCACCCCACACCCACTTACCTTGCAGCTAGGCCTCTTTTCGTTGACCCACTTCTTCCGCGGCGTCTTCTGCAGCAAGGCCGGCATTTCTCAGTCAGAGGCCTTTCCAAGAAGGCCGCTGCAGCCGAGAATTGAGCTATGGATTCATTCCATAGCTTGGTTCTGCAAGAGATCTGCAGCTGAGGACTGAGCTATAGATTGAATCCATAGCTCGGTACTCGTCTGCAGAGGCCTTCTAGAAAGGCTTGACTGCAAAATGCAGGCTGGAATGCAGCTGCAGCATGAAGCTGCTCCTTTGGGCCAAGAAGAAGTGGGCCAGCTGGGTGGAGCTGTCGGTGCCGGAGGGGAGTAAGACATCCCCCAAAAGTAAGACCTGGTGTGTCTTTTGGAGGCAAAAAATAAAATAAAATAAGACCCGGTCTTATTTTCAGGGAAAATAAGGAAATTCAGAGGAATTTAAGGAAATTCCGTTCCTTAAACTCCACTGAAGATGTTACCTAGCTTAGTAATGAAAGGTTCGGAAACCAACCCACAAGCTCGGAGAACGAACCTCCACCTCCATTCCCCAAACAAGGAAGGGAATGGAGGACTTTTTAATAAAGAAAGGGCATCATTATTAGAAATAAGATCACTGTAGTGGAATGTGAGGATGACCTTGGTAGATGGGAGGAAAGAGATGTGCCTAGGCAACAATCAGATAAAAGAGGGAGGAGCTCACAACCGAGTAATTACACACTAAAAAGAAACAGTGGGAGATTTGTACTTTCAGACTTGCAAGATTCTATCAATGTAGCCTTATAATAAAATTGAATTAGTTAATCTTGTCATGTTCCCACTCTGGTCGACTTGGGAGGCTGACCACCACTTGAATTGGATTGGCATTTGGTTTAATTTAACAGGGCTTTTTGTAAGTTAGGATAACACAGTACTGTATTGTGTTATATGCCAGTTTTTCAATTTAGTTATTTATTTATTTTATAAAATTTATAGGCTGCCCATCTCACCTCAAGGTATCCTCTAGATGTGTTGGACATTCACACCCTGTCCAATCTGAACATGAAGGGAATTTTTATTCAACACTTTGGAAGAGATACATTTGGGAAAAGGTGGTCCTGTATATATTATTGTGCTTCCTGCCTTGTGACCGTAAAAAGAAGGAAAGGGAAAAGAAGATAGAAAAGGGGGAGGCTGAAGAGTCTGTAAAAGCTACACTACTGCTTCAACACTTCCCTCTCTTGCCCAGATTTGTTACGTGTCACCAACTTGCGGGTGAACTTCACAAAGCTGCATACGCTGGGAGACAATTTGTTAGACTCACGATATCAAGTATTGCAGAAATACTACTATGCGGTATATGAGATGGTGCTCCGAGGAAGCTGCTTCTGTTATGGACATGCCTCCGAGTGTGCCCCCTTCACAGGATCAGCTAACCCGGTTGAAGGCATGGTAAGTCGCTCTGTGGGAGGCAAGGAGAAGATCAGGGTGTTGAGAAAATCGACAACCACAATAGTTTTATGTGAGCTTAGTTTGTATCTTGAGTGCTCTGCACCTACAATAGGAATTCATGCTCTTTTTTAAAAAAAAAAAAATCTCTATGCTGGGAAAGGCTCTCTCGCTAATTGGTGTGCAAAGCCTTGTAAACCTATTTTGCCTGTCTCCTCTGCTCCAGATCCATGGACGATGTGTCTGTAAGCACCACACGAAGGGTCTCAACTGTGAGCTCTGCAAGGATTTCTATCAGGACTTGCCTTGGAGTCCAGCCGAGGTCCACGATCCACACGCTTGCAAAGGTGTAGGCTGAAGGCTGGGCCATTGTGTTTGCATGGAGCAGTGAGGGGTTGCATAGTAAAGCAGTGGGAGTCATTGCAGGGAGATCATGCACATGGTAACATCACTGGCTTTGTGTGGTTACGTAGCTAAGACCAGGAGCCTTAGAACAGTTTGTTTATTTATTTATTTATTTTTATTTATTTATGAGACTTATATACCGCTTTAAGTGCAAGCACTCTCTAAGCGGTGTACACCAGTAAGCAATGTGTGTGTGTATATGGGTCCTCATTTTACCTACCTCGGAAGGATGGAAGGCTGAGTCAACCTTGAGCCGGTGAGATTTGAACCGCTGACCTGCTGAACACAGTCAGCTAAAGTGGCCTGCAGTACTGCACTCTAAATGCTGTGCCACCTCGGTTTAATCGTGGGTGTGCTTACTGATTTATTAAACAATATAGGAAGCTTTTGACTTGCAAACACAATTGGGAGCAGAATTTCCATTGCTAAGCAAGGCGGTTGTTAAGTCAGTCATGCCCGATTTTATCGTCTTTTTTTCCCCACAATTAAGTGAATCATGCAGTTGTTAAGCGAATCTGGCTTCTCCCCCTGACTTTGCTTATCGGAAGCCGTGTGGGGAAGATCGCAAATTGTGATCCCCTGACCCCAGGACATTTACAACCTTCGTAAATGAATATCAGTGGTCAAGTGCTTGAATTCTGATCCTGCAACTGAGATAGTCATAAGTGCAAGGGCTAGTTGTAAGTCACATTTTTGGGTGCTGTTGTAACTTTGAATGGTCAGTAATGAATGGTTGTAAATCAAGGACTACCTGTATAATATCCTGAATCTCACATCGAGTTAAGAACGAGGCAGAGAGCCTCCTCTTTTGGACGGCCATCCAACCCCACTGCAGAAACTCCCAAAGCTTTCTCTGGTTGATGGCTCCTTCATCTTGGCCGCCTTGCTTCTTTGTGATACTCCTTGGGAGTATCCTATCGGAGCGCCACAATTGTCATGCCTTGAGACAATTCAGGATCCCAAGTTACAGGCGAGATGATAGTGTCATGGTTCCGGCAGACGTTACTCTTCAAAGAACTTTCAGGCATTGTTTACCTTAAAGACTCTTTATTCAAATAACATGGCATCGGCACGTACATGGTTGAAGCCAAAATCTGAATTCCCCTCCCCTAAACACATAGTATGAAGCACAATCCCCTCCTCCAATTAACAGTCATAAATCACATTCTCCAATTAGCTTGAAGTGCAAACCTTCCCTCCAGTTTCATAACCCGGCCATTTCTTATCATCTCTTATTTCAAACAACCTTGAAGAATACTCCACTGTGATATTGTTATATCTAGCTAATCCCCATACACACTCTTCCCCCTCCCCCCACAGCACCATCTAATCCTAACTCTAAAAGTAACACACAGGTTAAAGAGAAAATGGCTGCATCTTCATATATTGTCAAAGCAAGAAGATCCGATGTTAGCAGCGTTGACATCTAGTCTGTGTGTCGCAGTCTATTTAGGCTCTATTGGAATAAATATTGTTAGATCAGGGGGTTGTCTTGGGTGGTATCCACGGAGGAGAATGGACAGGACCAGGATGCAGGCAACTGAATTCCTTTCCTGTCTTCTCCCCAGAGTGCAACTGCAATGAACATTCTCACCGGTGCCACTTCGACATAGCCGTGTACCTGGCTACAGGTAACTCCAGTGGTGGGGTCTGTGATGAGTGCCAGCACAACACCATGGGCCGCCACTGCCAGAACTGCAAGCCGTTCTTCTACCGCAACCCACTGGCTGACATCAGGGCCAAAACAGCATGCATTCGTAAGTGTGTCACTTTCTCCTTGTGCAGGGTGGGCAACCTTGGCTCTTTTATGACTCGTGGACTTCAACTCCCAGAATTCCTGAGCCAACCATGCTGAGAGGAAAGGGAGAGGTTTCCAAGCTGAGCCATGCTGGCTCAGGAATTCTGGGAGTTGAAGTTCACTAGCCATAAAAGAGCCAAGGTTGCCTGCCCCTGTCCTTGTGTATACCCCAGGAGTAAAGAGGATGCAATTTGAATCTATACATGATTGAAAGTGAGTGGCTTTGCCATTTGCTTTGGGAAACACTCTGTAGAAGTTTCCCTTTTTTCATTGACCTTTTTTTTTCTTCCATTCAATTGTGTCTCATTCTTGGAGATTATCTGGGCAAGTCCCTGCAGGCAAAGTTTTCAGAAGTGGTTTGCCATTGTCTCCTTCCTAGGGCTTAGAGAAAGTGACTGGCCTTGGATCACCCATCTGGCCTTGTGCCTGAAGCAGGGCAAAAAGTCACAGTCTCTTGGTTTCTAGCAAGGGACCTTAACCACGACACCAAGATGGCTCTCTTGACTCTAACACTATTTTAAATTCCCATTAATTAAATTGCTAGGAATTTTTAAACTTGTCAGTGATTGGGCGCTACCATTTTTAGCACTTCCAGGATGTATTGATCTGTACAAAGAGCGTTGTTGCTTGTAAGATCGTATTGGAGCTTTCCTCCAGAGGAAAAGACTTGAAGTAGATTATGTAATAAACTGTCAGAACTCAGTAGAAATGAATACTGCACAGAACAGTCTGCGCATTTGATTCATGGGTGCGTCCCTACAAAATGTTTCGTGCTGGATGACTCTGTACTCTACGATCCCATCACATTATCTTCTTTAGAAATTAGCTCAGCTCAGTTCTAAAGCAAGTTTTCAGTTGAGCTTTTTGATTGAAACAAAAGTCTGAAATTAGTCACAAGGTTTCCCTTTGGATTCTCTTTTCATGGCTCGTGACATATCAACACCAGGGGTTTTCTGCGGGGTCAGAAGTTCAATAAGGTGGCCACCTCTTTTTAATACTGTACTGGGTTGGCCAGAGAGTGCTAAGGTCATATGTTCACCGCTTCTGGAGGCAGGTTGTTCCACTGGTTAATTGTTCCAACTGTCAGGAAGTTTCTCCTTAGTTCTAGGTTGCTTCTCTCCTTGATTAGTTTCCATCTGTTGCTTCTTGTCCTGCCTTCAGGTGCTTTGGAGAATGGCTTGACTCCCTCTTCTTTGTGGCAGCCCCTGAGATATTGGAACACTGCTATTGTGTTCCCCCTCATCTTTCTCTTCATTAAACTAGACATACCCAATTCCAGCAAGCGTTCCTTGTATGTTTTAGCCTCCAGTCCCCTAATCACCTTGGTTGCTTTTCTCTGTACTCTTTCTAGAGTTTCAACATTTTTTCTACATTGTGGTGACCAAAACTGGATGCAGTATTCCAAGTGTCGCCTTGGAATATGTGGCAAAATGCAAAGATCCAGTTCCTGGACATCTTTCAGAGAATCAAACTTTTGCTTTTCTGGTGCATTGAGCACAACCAAAATGCATGTTCCAGTGTGTTTGTGTGTCATACTCCTTTCTGCAAGAATGTTTTTTTTTCCTTAGAGGGGAAAATGAGAGAAACATGAACAGGCCAGTGTTAACAGGCACCCAGGAAATCTTAAAAAAAAATTGTAAAACCCAAAGTTAGCCCTGGTCTTCCTGAGGCTGCTCCCACCTGAAGAAAATACTAACAAATAACTATTTCTGGAAGTCGCCATCAATGAGGGCTGGTTTTACGGAGCCTTCAGCAGGTTTTTCAAGATGAAAAGAAGAGTGGTGTGGCATTGTTCTGCCTATCCCATTCACCAATTTCTTCCGCCCCACACAGACACTTTTTCTCTTTTGTCTCATAGCCTGTGACTGTGACCCAGCAGGCACTTTGGATGGAGGTGTGTGTGACAGTCACACAGACACAACGCTGGGCATGATTGCGGGACAGTGTCGCTGCAAAGAGGACGTCAGAGGTGTGCGTTGTGACAGCTGCAAAGAAGGCTTTTACGGCCTGAGCCTCAGTCATCCTCTCGGCTGCCAACGTAAGTGACAAGGCTGTCTGGGGAAACCGTGTGGCTGCAGGAATAGAGGCTGCAGGGAGTCCTTGACTTACGACCGCAAGGGAGCCCAACATTTCTGTTGTTAAGCGAGACATCTGTTAAAGACATTTTACGACCTTTCTCGGCACAGTTGCTAAGGGACTCATCACAGTTGTTAAATTAGTAACAAAGTTTTTAAGTGAATCTGTTTGTCAGAAGGTCGCAAAAGGGGATAACATGACCTGGGGATATTACAACCGTCATAAATACGAACCAGTTGCCAAGCGTCTGAATTTTGATCACATGACCACGGGGGACGCTGTAACGGTCGTAAGTGGGAAAAACGGTCCTAAGTCACTTTTTTCAGTGCCGCTATAACTTTGAACGGTCACTAAATGAACTTTTGTAAGTCGAGGACTACCTGTACTCTATGGTATCACACTCCTTGAGTCCTAGGGGAGCACAGTAACAGTAGAAAAGTTACCTTCTTTCCCTTGGTTTCATGGGTATGCAATACATCTATTTTTATTTGTTTCATTTCATGCATTCATTTATTCTCACTTACCGTTTATTCCAAGCCTCACTCTTCCCTCTGTTGTGGTCTTCACCTGTTGGGTTTTCCAGAATAGATAGTAATAGTAGTAAAGTTGGAAGGGACCTTGGAGGTCATCTAGTCCAACCCCCTGCTCAGGCAGGAAACCCTACACCATTTCGGACAAATGGCTGTCCAGTCTCTTCTTAAAAACTTCCAGTGTTGGAGCATTTACTGCTTCTGGAGGCAGGCTGTTCCACTGATTAATTGTTCTCACTGTCAGGAAGTTTCTCCTTAGTTCTAGGTTGCTTCTCTCCTTGATTAGTTTCCACCTGTTGCTTCTTGTCCTGCCTTCAGGTGCTTTGGAAAATAGCTTAATTCCCTCTTCTTTATGGCAGCCCCACCATCTACCATGGTTTTTGGTCAATCAAGAGTTTCACATAAAGCTTTTAAGTCCCAAAGGCAATGTATAAACTAGGTCAGTGGTGACGAACCTATGGCAGGTATTCTAGAGGCGGCACTCAGAGCCCTCTCAGTGGGCACGCCTGCCGTCGCCCCAGCCCCGCCTCCCCCCACGGCCCCCTCCTCACCAGCAGCCCTCTGGAGGAGAGTCATCCCTGGTCGTGGCTTGTGCGGAGCAGCGCAGCCAAGGACATAGCAGCCGGGCAGCAGGTACAAGACTCAGCCTCCGTGTCCCACAGCATCATTTGCTAAGTGGCCACCATGGTGCTGCAGGGCCGCCTGGGCGATCTGCCGCGATGGGCTGTGGAGGTGGTAGGTAGTCCTGCAGGGGGCGGGGTGGAGCAGAGTGGGTGGGGCAGGAGGCAGGGTGGAGTAGGAGGGGCAGGGGGCGGAGCAGTTTTGGGGCACTTGGTGTCTAAAAGGTTCACAATCACTGAACTAGGTTATCAGCGTTAGTCATACTGAGACTATATTATGCCAGTCCATTTTGGCAGATTTGGGCCAGTGTGCCACAAGGGGAACAGTGGTCCAGTTTTATCCCAAGGGTCTTGTGCTATTCTGTGCAAGCCAGGGTTTGCTAATCCGAAGACTTCCTTGTAAGCCAATGCACTTTAACACTGCTTACACCCATGTATATATGCTAAGGATACATTGCTTTAATTAAAATAAAAGAGGATATAAAAATAATTACGCTGCAGAGTGAAACACCAACATCAAGCTCAATCTAGATTTTTAGCAATGCTTCTGGAGCCTGGGCCCTTGTAGCTTCCAGACAGGCTTCATAGAAAATTTAAAAAAAAAGTGAAACCTGGTGCTTTGTTTGCCTTCACATAAAATGGGAATAAAACTGGAGTTAGGTTTCAGCATGATTGCACGTCTGGGAATGTACGTGTCTGTCGTTCAGAGACAGTTGCATAGCTCTTGCATTCATATTTCTGCTAATGTTAATGTTGTGGATAGGAGACCCTCAAATCGCCTGACTCCTAACAGGAAGTCGGATCAACCAATGAGCATGCAGGACGCACATCTCCATGCAACACATCGTTGAGATTTAAGAGGTGTGCCCATTGGCCTGTCTGTAATCATCTACATGCTTACCCATCAACCCCCCTTGTAGCATAGAAATGCATCAACACCTACATGCAATTCTGGACAATTCTAAATCAAGCTTAGTTGGCCATACTCAACATGACAGCCGTTCTTTGAGAGAATGTCTAACATGCTCTCAAAATTCCAGATGTGTCCACTGGTTTAGAGAGATTAGGAAGCCAGGCTTTATCAGTGCAGCTTCCAGTATCTTTTATGCAGCCCATTTTTCCCCCCTCTGTCTATATTTTCTTAAACTGTACTCCGTAATCTTTAGTGTTTTTTCTTTAGGCAAAACAACTATGGAATGAACATTCTTTAGAAATTACTTTTTTGGAGCCAGGTGAAGAAGCATCTTGTACTATGTGAATTCTCTTAGTAGAAATCTGAATGTTGTGGTTGTACCATGTTGGGTGGCGCAAAGCGGTTGGGCGTTCCCTCTAACTTTGCAGCCATCGAGTCTGCTATGTTGGCCTTTGGGGAGGGGAGATGTTTAAGTAGAGAAATGTGTGCCTCAAACCTCATTGCAACACAATCTGGAGGTGCTTGGCAAGCTGTAAGGTGAGGGGTGAGGGTTGCATGTCATTCATGAGCTGTGAGGTCCTTGGTGCTCTCTGAGCTTGATTATTTCCTTACAGACGTTTCATTACCCAACTAGGTAACATCATCAGTGCTCGAAGGATGTCGGGTTGTTTTCTATTTATATACAAGTGGCTTGCCCTGTCAATGTTGGAGGGCATGTCCTTGGTAGGCTATTGTTTAATGTTTGATTGTTTGTCTGAGTTGGTCGTTCCTTGATTGAAATATTGCGTACTGCTTGATTATGAGTCTAGTATTAATCACAGTATTAATCTCTGCTTATATGGATGTAGATTGCTGGCAAGGAAATGTTATGCTCTTTTCGTTTTTTTATTGTCTCATTTGAATTGTATGTTGTTTATCTCTATGTGCCTGTTGAAGGGAGCAGAGAAAGCAAACCCACTACCTTCTAGGGCTGATGATGTTAGCTAGTTGGGTAATGAAACATCTGCAAGAAAACAACCAAACTCAGAGAGCACCAGAGACCTCACAGTTCAACTCTGAGCTATAAATATTCTCTTCTGTCAGTCCTCATGAGGTTTAGGTTGCTACCCCACTTTTTAAAGACCAGACACAGATCCCATGGAAACCATTGGCATGTGTTCTCAGCCTGCAGGTGTGACCCTCGTGGGATTACCACAGATAGCAGCCCCTGCGATCAGATCAGCGGTGATTGCTATTGCAAGCGTTTTGTAACTGGGCAATACTGTGACCAGTGTTTGGTGAGTGAGTATCACTTGGATTTGTGCTGTGCATCCTTTGAGCCTAGTTCCTAATGAGTGTGTTGGTCCTTCTCTTTCACAGCCTGAATACTGGGGTTTGAGCTATGATGTGGCAGGCTGCCGAAGCTGTGCTTGTGATTTTGGAGGCGCCTACGACAATAGGTAGGACCGCAGTGAGCAGACACCGAAGGGCAGAAGGAGAAACATTTTAAGTGGCTCTTGGGAGACCGTCTGTTGCTGCTCCACCGCTGAGGATTCTGAGTTGACAGAAAATAGTTTCACTTATTGTGGTCAGATTGCATAATAACACCAACACCCTGAAGCAGTTCACAGCAACAGCACTAACATTCTTCAGCCTTGCACACAAATAGGGATTGTAGCTTTTGGGTACCGAAAATACATTTGCACTTTTTTTTTAAAACTTCCATGTTAACTGGTTAACTTTCACGTTAACTTTTTAAAAACTGGCTTCACGTTTTCTGAATTTCATTGTAAACGATGCAATTATGATTTTATAAGATACTCCTTGCTACGCTTGTGCATTGCTGTGAACTGTAACACTGTTATGACCTAATATCTCTAGACCAGGGGTAGGCAACCTTGGCTCTTTTATGACTCGTGGACTTCAACTCCCAGAATTCCTGAGCCAGCCATTCTGAGGGGGAAGGGAGAGTTTTCCAAACTGAGCCATGCTGCCTCAGGAATTCTGGGAGTTGAAGTCCTTGAGTCATAAAAGAGCCAAGGTTGCCAACACGTGCTCTAGACAAATGCTTATCCACTCATTTATTTATTCAAATTAACAAAGATGTGTAGAATGCTTCCATTTCATGCAGCTTGGAGACTTTTTTCTTTCTTTCTGTACTGAGTGAAATTTCACAAAACGATGACTTATATACCCTAATGAGTTTGGGAGAACCATCAAGGAACCAGACCAAAGTGCTTTGGGAACAGAAGGTGGTCCTTGTGGCCCACTTTACTGTATTCTGAGTGTCTCTCACAAGGCCGTGCTTACGTTAGCAATAGTCATGGTAAAAGTTCCCCTCTGTGTCCTAGTGGCCTCCAAGTTACACTTCTTTTTGGTTGGGTGAACCAACCATCTGATGAGACGAAGCCATGCATAGAGGAATACAGGGTGGTACCTCAACTTACGACCGTAATGGAGACCAACATTTCTGTTGCCAACCAAGACAGCTGTTAAGTGAGTTGTGTCCCATTTTACAACCTTTTGGCCACAGTTATTAATCACTGCATTTGTTAAGTTAGTAACATGTTTATTAAGTGCATTTAGCTTCCCCGTTGATTTCACTGGTTAGAAAGTTGCAAAAAATGATCGCATGACCCAGGGACAGGGCAAAACTATCATAAATACATTGTAGTTGCCAAATGGCCAAAATTTGGTCACATAGCCGTGGGACTGCTGCAACGGCCATTAAGTGTGAAAAACAATCACGTCACTTTTTTTTTTGGTGCTGTTATAACATTGAACGGTCACTACCCAAATAATTACAAGCTGAGGACTATCTGTACATTCAGCTGTATGTCTGGGTCATTGAGCACCTCTATGGACGGGGAAGGGGTGGGGTTGAGGTTATATCTCTGGGTTCTCACGCTAGCACCTCTACCGAGCATCTGGGCCAATTTTCTTCCCACTCAGCTGCCAAGATCTCAACTCACAACACAGCTATTTCGAGATATAAGATGCAAAGGCGTCCTTGGGACTTGGAGGTGGGCCAGTTTCATCTTGAACCTTCCAGGAACATGGCACTCCCCTTTTTCTGCAGCTGGCAAGCTGCCTTGTAGTGTCCTATGACCTTATACAAGGCGCAGGGCAGCCAAGCAGACAATATATATATATATATATATATATATATATATATATATATATATATATATATATATATATATATATATTTGTTTTCCTCATCACAAACCTAAACATGGCAAGGCAAGAAAAAGATTGCAAGAGAGGGTGTGGGTGGAATTTTGGCACCTCACTAGTGGGAGCATCGGCTGTCAGCTGTGATAACATCCATTGCGTTTTGCAAGGCGGAATCTGAGAATTTGGGGAGAGCCACAGGGCTGTAAAAAAAAAAATGTGATACTCCTTATTGCATCCTTACTGCATTCTGAACAGACTGGCTTGGCCTTGAATTTTTGCTTGCAAAGGCAAAGCGTAATTGAACCAGGATATCTTGTTTGAAGATGCATTCGATAATCAGGCTCTCTTCCTGACCCAAAATAGGCAGACTGGGTCAATGTTGTCACCACCTCTCTTCTCCACCTCTCCATCCTTTCTTTGAAGTTCTTTGTCCACGTTGTTCATTTGTCCTGCATGTCACAATCTTGTATGGTTACTCCCTTTAGTCTGGATTGTTAATTATGAATATTGATGATAAGCCCCGTAGTAGGCATACCACAAGACTGCAGTAAGAAATGTTAGGAGAGGACCTGTCCTTTAATACTATATACCAGTGAAGGCGAACCTTTTAGAAACCGAGTGCCCAAAAACCGACCCACCCCTGCTCCGCCCGCCTGCAAGGCCACTCACCACAGATCGCCCAGGCAGCCTTGCAGCGCCATGGCGGCCACGCCCTCCGCCCGCACCCCGAAGCATCACCTGCACGTGATAGGGCGCGAGGGCGGAGTCTTGCCCCTGCTGCCCAGCTGCCATGTGCTTGGCTGCGCTGCTCTGCGTGGGCCGCGCCTGGTGGAGCCTCTCTTCCGGGCAGGCTGCTGGTGAGGAGGTTGTGGGGGGAGGCGGGGCTGGGTCAACAGTGCGCGTGCCCACAGAGAGGGCTCTGAGTGCCACCTCTGGCACGCATGCTATAGGTTCGCCACCATTGCTATATACCAGTGATTCTCAACCTTTCTAATGCCGTGACCCCATAATACAGTTCCCCATGTTGTGGTGACCCCCAAGTTGGTGTGGCCACCAATAAGAGGGAGTAGAACAGCTAGGGAAAAGGGAAAAAATGGCAGACAGCATGGTTTGGCGACCCCTGTGAAATGTCATTCGACCCCAAATGGAGTCCCGACCCACAGGTTGAGAACCACTGCTATATACTATGCCTGTTTGTATTACAGGTAGTTCTCGACTTACAAACATTCATTTAGCAACCATTTCAATTTATATTGGCACTGGAAAATGTGACTTAACAACCAGTCCCTGCTCTTACAACCATCGTAGCATCCCCACAGTCACGTGATCAAAATCCAGCTCTATTCTTGGCAACTGGCATGTCTTTATGATCATTGCAGCATTCACATGATTCCCGTTTGCAACCTTCCTAGCCAGCTTCTGACAAGCAGAGTCAATAGGGGAATCTGGAGTCGCTTGATGATCACACGAGTTCCTTAACTGCAGTGGTTCATTAACAACTAAGGCAAAAAAAGATTGTAAAATCGGGTGTGACTCACTTAACAATCGTTTTGTTTAGCAATGGAAATTCTGGTCACAATCGAGACAATAAGTCGAGGACTGCTTGTATGAAGTCAGTGACACCGCTGAGCAATGTTGGATGTTGCCTGCTTCTTGCCAGTCCCACTCCACCTATGTTGCTCCAAGATTTAGCTAAAAGAGGTTTATTTTTGCTGTGGTGCCTTCTGTCTCCAGATGCTCTACGAATGATGGCCAGTGTCCCTGTCGGCCCCACCTTATAGGCCGTCAGTGCAATGATGTGCAGCCAGGGTTTTTCTGTATGCCCTTGGACTACTACATGTATGAAGCCGAACGTGCCACCGGTCTTCCTCCAACCCATCAAGACCTCCCAGTAAGTGTGCCAGGCAAAGGAGAAGGGGATGAGCTTCTGGGATGAAAAACTGCTGTATCTCTGTGCAGCTTTGTCTGTGTCTAGAAAACCATGGTCATTTATTTAAGAATTAAATAAGGAAGGAAAAGGATGCAAGTGGTCTGAGGCTGGCTTAAGGCAAAATTGAAGAATGTTTGAGTGCTAGGGAATACAGTCCATCTTCCTAGCCTATAAAAGGCTGTAAGAGTCTATCCAGAAAGGTTGTGTTACTCCCTGGAAAGAGTATGGCTGACAATTTTCGGCCTGATCTTTTTGAACTTGAATCCCACCCACACTGCCAAATCTTGTTGGTGTAGAGTGGAACAGAGTGGAACAGAACAGAACAGAACAGAACTGGAAGGGACCTTGGAGGTCTTCTTGTCCAGCCCCCATACATTTTTCAAGGAGAGGTCCTGCCAACAGGCCATCTCTAAATGACCAGGTGGGCAGATTTAAGTTTGGCACACCATTACCTGATGCATGGATTTCTTATTTCCTGAGGCACAAACTGAGTTCACATCTTGGTCTAAAAACACAACGCTGAGATCCTCGTATCTGTACATCAACAATTAATGACAAATTCCTCTGCATGCTGCCCTTCTTTTCCTCTGATATGTTAACACATACCGTTTCCCCAACTGGGCAGTCACAGGCTGCCGAGGCTTTCCCTGTAGGCTCAGTGTAGTATGAGGCAGACATTCAGACTCCCAACGGCTGCACTCAAAAGGACTATGCTATGGTGATGATGCAAAATGGATAGTGCTGGGATGTGTGTGTTTGTTTATTCATTTTTTAAAAATTTTTTGGGGGGGTCTAAAATTTGACTGTCAGCCCTCCAAGGTAGTTGTCGTTCAGGCACTAAGTCGTGTCCAGAGGACCATAGCATGGCAGCCTCCCTCCATCCTCCAGTGTCTCCTACAGCTTGCTCAAATTCATGTTCAATGCGTCGACACTGTCTAACTGTCTCATCCTCTGCCGTCCCCTTTTACCTTCACTTTCCCAACATCAGACTCTTTTCCAATGAGTCTTCTCATTTGGTAGCCAAAATATTTGAGCTTCAGCTTCAATATCTGTCTATCCAAAGAACAGTCAGGGTTGATTTCCTTTAGAATTGACCTCCGGGGTAGACCAAATGTGAAAACCAAAGACATGCAAGCTAATATTTCTTTAATTACAAGGTTATAGTTTTCACTGTCTGCATAATCTAAATGTGCCCCCACCCCCCGATATCTTCATGAGAACTAGGGAGGTCTTTTCTGAGATGTTTTCTCAGGTAACAGTTTTGATCTGGACACATATTTTTTTTTAATCAAACCATTGTCTTGGTTGAGGTTCTTCCTCCTGTTCCTTATGATTATTCCTTCTGCCCATTGCATGGACAGGAAACCATGACTGGTTTTTGGCAGTTGTGGTTCAAGATGGCTTTAGGGCTCTAAAGAAGGACTTGGGGCCACATGGGCCCTGGGATCCCAGGCTGCTGGCTCTGGGTTACTGAAGGAATCCAGGCGGCTCAAGCTAGGGATTCAGATCACACACTGTATAGGGCAGTGTTCCCCAACCTTTCCAGCTTTGCGGACTGGTGGTGGGGGGAGGGGGAAGGAATGGTTACACATAGGAAGTGGGCGAGCACACGCCCATGCAGCTCCATTTGTACAAATGGCGGGCACACACACATTGCTTGCACAGCTGTGTGCACGCACTTGCCCACTGCTTGTGCAAGTGGAGCTGCGTGCTTGTATGTGCTCACCCATTGCTTCCACAACCAGTTCCAAATGGGCCAGAGCCCAGGACCATAGTTTGGGGGTCGGGGACCTCTGGTATAGGGGAATATAGTTCGTTTCCATTTTGCCCTTGCAGATTTTAGTTCATATGGGTTGTTGGGTGGCCAAGGCAGAAAGACACAGTTGCCCCTAACAATTACAGTGAGATCTCTTTTCCTTCTGATGACAGGGTACCTTGCGGCCCGAATCGCCTGTGGATTGTGTGGAATATTACAACGGAGTCCAGAATGGGCGCAGAGTGAGGCTGAGGCGCCAGCACAGCACAATAAGACTCTTGCAGCAGCGAGGGGCGCTCTCCCGAGCCCGGCAGCTTCAACAAAAGGTGACTGTGGGAGATAGTCTAGCACAGGGGTAGGCAACCTTGGCTCTTTTATGACTGGTGGACTTCAACTCCCAGAATTCCTGAGCCCGCCATGCTGAGAGGAAAGGGAGAGGTTTCCAAGCTGAGCCATGCAGGCTCAGGAATTCTGGGAGTTGAAGTCCAGGAGTCATAAAAGAGCCAAGGTTGCCTACCCCTGGTCTGTGGAGAAGTGATGCTGCACGAGACTGAGGAAGAGAAAGCTGTGATGGATGGCCCAGACCTCCCTGAGATGTTAGTAGGACTGCCCCAGAAGACTCAACTTCCAAAGGGGAAAAGAAAGAATAAGATGTGACCTTCTTTCCCAGCTCACATTCAGCAAAACAGGACCGACAGCCGAATTTCACTTTGATCCCAATGAAGGGACATTGTCTTGCACACCACACGAAGTCCTAACTTAGGGGAATTTGTAGAGAGCTGTGGATCTGATACCACATTAACCCCTTGCATAATACATTCCTATTGCAGCCCAATCACAGCAAGTCAGGCAAATAGGTAAATTTGGTACCCGTAGTCCTCAATGGAGATCGATCGGCCTGATTTCTTGTCCTTTTTGCGGCAGTCATTAAGTGAATGGTGTGGTCATTAAGCAAACCAATTGTTTGGCAAAAATAACATAAAACATGGTCATATGATCATAAGATGCTGCAAACAGCTGTAAATTTGTGCCAATTGCTCAAAATTCTGTCATGTGATTGCGGGGCATATATGTGTGGCTATTAGAATATCAGTATTAGATTGTAAGTACCCCCAAAGAGGTCTGTCGTAACTCTGAACAGTCACTAAGTGATTAGTCATAAGTTAAGGACTACCTGTATTTCCTATGTTCTTTTTCTCTGAAAAATAAGTTGTCTCGTAGGGATAAAGATGAAAATGGATGGCTCCATGGATAGATTAGATGGAAGAAAGAAAGAAAGAAAGAAAGAAAGAAAGAAAGAAAGAAAGAAAGAAAGAAAGAGGAAGGAAGGAAGGAAGGAAGGAAGGAAGGAAGGAAGGAAGGAAGGAAGGAAGGAAGGAAAAAGAAAGAAAGAGAGAGAAAGAAAAGAAAGAAAGAAAAAGGAAGGAAGGAAGGAAGGAAGGGAGGAAGGAAGGAAGGAAGGAAGGAAGGAAGGAAGGAAGGAAGGAAGGAAGGAAGGAAGGAAGGAAGGAAGGAAAGATTTGAGAGATGGAATGCCTGGAAATTGTTGAGCTTTGAGTTCTATTAAGCCAAAAGGTAGAAGAATAAAACTTAAATCCACTGTGCTTCTCCGTAGTGATTTAAACACATCTTGAGCTTCATAAGAAAAGTGTGTGGTTTTGCTGGAACAATAGGTCAGTAGTATAGCAGGGAAGGCTTCCTCGATAGGCTGTTTCCACTTGCCATTCAAGTTGTTAAAAACATACCCAAGTGTGGGAACAAGAATCACTGGAAAGACTACGGTACGACGTCTTTGCTGACCTTGCATTTTTATCTACAGCCTGATGTGGAAGTTGTAGAGCGTGAGCACACAGGCCATATGATCACATGGACAGGCCCAGGCTTCGCCCGTGTGCGTGATGGGGCTGGACTATCCTTCCACATTGACAACATTCCTTACCCAATGGAATATGACATCTTGTTCCGCTATGAGCCTGAGGTGAGTAGAAATTGTTAAGAGGGAAGTGGTGAATGCTCCAACAGTGGAAGTTTTTAAGAAGAGACTGGACAGCCATTTGTCTGAAATGGGTATAGGGTTTCCTGCCTGAGCAGGGGGTTGGACTAGATGACCTCCAAGGTCCCTTCTAACATTATTATTACGGATCATCGCACAGTCAGCCAGATGTTCAGACTGGATTTGGCATTTTGTCTACCTATCGAGTCCTTACCCAGGACCTGGGATAGGCAGATGTGGATGTTTGATGGTATTACAGGTATCGTCGCAGGATGGAAGCAGTCCCTAGTAAGGCCGCCTTTTGCAATTGACTAATAGCGAATTTGTCAATGCCAATGGTGTTCAAGTGGTGCTCCGGTTGCTTTGGGATTGCACCCAAGGCGCCTATCACTATTGGTACTACCCTTGCTTGCTTTTGCCACAATCTTTCTATTTCTATTTGTAGGTCTTTGTATTTTGTTATCTTCTCCACTATTATTATTATTGTTGTTGTTGTTGTTATTTATAAAGTAAAGGTGGGACAAAAATCTACTATATAAACAGAGCTCTCAAGAAGGATCTCCATTCTGTGTGAGAATTTAAGATGGCATTGTTTATTTTGGAATTATTTCTTTAAACCTGTTGTGTCTCCTCTTCAGTCCACAGAAGATTGGGAAGTTGTTGTCAGTGTCAGCTCACAGGCCCTACCAGTGAGTCCACGTTGTGGCAATGTGCTGCCCTCTGAGCAGGTGTATCAAGGGAGCTTGCCCCACACCTCCAGGTGAGAAGAGATGGGAGCTGGTGGTCAATTTTTGTGGACACTGAGACCTCAAACAAGAATGTTGTTATTTAATTTCCTTCCAAATTGTTTCCTCCATGGAGAGATTTGTTACAGAGGCTGCTACTGTTTGTTTTCACTATGTAGGTCTCCCATCACTAATGACTGTTTAGGAAGCACCTTACGAAATGAAACAGCGCTGTGGGCGAAATTCTGCATTTTCCAGAGTTCTTTGATTCTCAAGAGTAGAATATGCTGTTCAGCAGATGAATGTCTGCAGAGAGGCTCAAAATGTTAGGATTAAGCTGTGATCATGCACCCAACACTTTTGTCTCTTTTTATGAGTATCAAAGGTTAAAAAGGGCCGGGGCTTTGGTCACCTGGATGCAGCTGCCATCTTTAACTTTTTGACATTTCATTACCAAACTAAATAACATTATCAGTGCTTAGATACAAAATACAAAAAATCCACAGAAAACAAAGTGCTAACATTTTCTGGAAAATGGTATTTATTCATTTTTAATAAGGTAATGTGCAGTACACTGATTTTCTATCCTTAAGGGATTTTTAGCTGGTAAGAAAAAGATGAAAGAACGCGTGGAAAAAAGAAAGAAGGGTTCAAAATGGAAGATAATGGCACTTGGTATCTCTTCTCTGAATGAGGTAGCAGATGAGTTGCCAAATAATGACTTAGTCAACAAGTCTCTTTACCCATGTTCCAATTGTAACATTGTAAGGTTGAAACTTGTGTTTTGGTACCATTGACTTTTCTTTGGCGCTGGATTGACTGACTTTTTCCTATAATTGCACAAAAAGCTCCTGTGTTCTATGTGGTTAGAAAATTATTGATATTTTGGATTGGCTAAGGGCCTCCATCTCTGCTGGTAGAATTTGATCACTTCCTCATCACTTCCACAATTTCTTTCTAAAATACTTACTTACTGGATATTTCTTTTTGGAGACTGCTGCTATCTATTTTTTTAAAAAAAGAAAAGGTTGTTAGAGTATGGCTTATGCCTCTACATACAAATTCCATCGCACATAAATTTAGCTTCTATCATTTGTGAGAGATTCTGGTTAATTCATGGATTTCCTTTTTTTCAGGTTTTCCAATCTCTTTCTATTTCTCTCCTTTAATGTATTTTCGCTTTATAGATTCCCTCCCCCTCACTCTCTCCCCCCTCCTCATCTTACACAGACATATTCACAAGAGACAGATAGAAAATCAGGAAAGAGAAGGACCTGATCTTTTTTTTTTTTTTGAAAGCTATTTAAACATTCTCTTGTTTCTCTCACCTTGGACATTTTTTAGGAAAGTTTCATGTGTGAGGTACTGGTGAAAATAAATTTATATTATACTATTTTATTGCCTCATGCAAACCTATATTACAGATACTTGCTCCTGCCACGGCCCTTCTGCTTTGAGCCCAAAAATCATTACAAGATTGTTGTGCGGTTCCAACGAGCAGGCGTGGCACAGCGCCATCCTGCGGCCTTCATCCTTGTGGACTCGGTGAGAACTCCTTTCTCTTAAGGGCAGCCCAGGGCTCCCCTGTGGCCCAGGCCCATTTTCCCTTGGGCCTCATATTAAAGTCCCTTAAGGATATTCGTCCTGTTTCATTCTCCCCTACGTTTTAATGTACAGGTAGTCCTTGATTTATGGCCACAGTCAGCAGCAGAACTTCTGTTGCTAGCCAAGGCGGTTGTTAAATGAGTCATGCCTAATTTTACAACCTTTTTTTGCCAGGGTTGTTAAGCGAATCGCTGTAGTTGTTAAGTACCTCGCACAATCGTTAAGCACACCCATTTTCCCCTATTGATTTTCCTTGTTGGAAACCAGCAGGCAAGGTCATAAATAGTGATCAGATGAGCCCAGGATGCTGAAACTGTCCTAAATAGATCCTGGTTGCCAAGGGCCTGAATTTTGATCATGTGGCCAGGGGGAGGTTGCGATGGTCATAAGTGCAAGGACCAATTGGAAGGCACTTTTTTTTAGTGCTATTGTAATGTCAAACAAACGGATGGTTGTAGGTCAAGGACTACCGGTTTTTTGATGATTATTTTTTTATTTCTTTCATTTTTTTCCCTCAGCATTTTGTGAATGGAAAGATTAGGTGAGAAGTAAATGAGGTAGGTAGATAGATAGATTTGGTGGGGGGGGGGAGAGAGAGATTTGACTTAGTGCTTTTTTCACAGGATCCAGTCTGGGTCAGTCACCAGGACCAGAGGTTTACTCTTCTGAGCTTTTAGACCAGTGGTTCTCAACCTTTTTAATGCCACGACCCCCAACCGGTCGTAAGTCGAGGACTACTCAACTGGTGCAGAACCGTTTGCAGACTGGGGCTTTTGGCGGGCTCAGCAGGGCAGAGACAGCTTGGACAATTCCTATTGCCTTTTGAAAGCCAATAGAATTAGACTCTATTCAAGAGAGTCTATTCTATTGGCTTTCAAAAGCCAATAGAATAAAAGAGAGTAGCACAGCTAAGGAAAAGGGGAAAAAATGGCGGACTGCGTTGTTTGGCAACCCCCGTGAAATGGTCGTTCGACCCCAAATGGGGTCCCGACCCACAGGTTGAGAACCACTGTTTTAGACTCATGGTGGAACCCATCCTAAGGGAACTTCACTCTCACCAGAATGTGTCTCCCAGTGACCGATCCAGACTGGATCCTGCAACATTATCCTGGGACACATATATTCACCTTCATTAGTGTTTTTTTTTTCCCCTGAGCACTGTGGTGGCCTAGGGGTGGAGCTCTCGCTTCACAATCAGGAGGCTATGCGTTCTATCCTAGATAGTGGCAGATATGAGATGTGTTTGAATATTACTGGCATGGGTTGGTAGTTGGGTTGTAGGTTTGATCCCAGAGCTTGGCGATTTGGCTGCAAATGTTTCGTCTCCATTTGAAGCGCACTAAAGATGTCCCCCCCCCCAAATGGAGACGAAACGTTTGCAGCCAAATTGCCAAGCTCGGAGATCAAACCTACAGCCCGGTGGCAGATATTTCTCTCTCTGGCCGCAAAGAGAAAATATTTGCCGTGAGCTCCACATAGACGTCAGGAATGGCTCTGGCCAGTAAATTCTCAACTCCATTCAGCAACCCCCCCCCCCAATCCACCCCAATGCAAGGGATTACAGGATCATTAAAAGAAAAAAATGTTTTTTTTCCCCCTCTAAGATCCCTCCTCCCTTTATCCCACAGCTGGTTCTTTTACCTCACGTGACAGAACTACCTGGTTTCCATGGTAACGATCCAGCTTCTGTCGAGCGCCGGGAGGCCCTGGAACATTACACATGCCTGGAATTATTTCGCATGGCCACCATGCCTGACCTTCCTGAGACTTGTGCCCACCTGCTCTGCAGCATTTCTGCCCTGATCCACGACGAGGCTCTGCGTAAGTGAAAAGTTGTCCTCCAGGCAGGAAAGGGCCAATGTAGTCATTCCTCAAGGGTGTTGAATTCCAGGAACCCAAGCTTGTATGGACTGATGGTGGGAACTCAGCAGCTTTGATATTCCTGAATCTGGTGTTGTAATGCTGAGGGCAAGGATAGAGCCCAGTCTCTGAACATTAAATGGGGATAAACTCCTATAATCAGCAAGTCTTGGTCTGAATGCTGGAAGTTTCCTCAGGCTGAGCAATAATCTGTACATAAGGAGACATTATGAGAAAAGTATAAGAAAGGGATTTTTGCTATGAATGATTGTTTTGCAATCAGAAAACATTATTTCCAGACCTGTGGCTGAAATGTGTAAAATATTATTCTACAATCATCAGGGCTAGAAACCTTTAATCTTTTCAAGCTAATAAAGCAAAGGCTGAGAATATCAAGAATGCAGAGCAGTTGCCTGATTACTGTTGAAAACCACGTCTTGATTCCTTGATTATTTTATTATCTCCAATAGCTTTTTGGGGTTCTACTGCATAATCTATGCATAACATAAGCAGGCATGTCCCTAACGCTTCTTGCCTCTGAGTCAGCTCTAGAGCAGGGGTCTTCAAACTTGGCCCTTTTATGACTTGTGGACTTCAACTCCCAGAATTCCTCAGCCAGCGTGCCTGGCTGAGGAATTCTGGGAGTTGAAGACCACAAGTCATAAAAGCGGCCAAGTTTGAAGACCCCTGCTCTAGAGGGATGAGTTTTTATTTGGTGTGCCAGCAAGACATTCTCTCACATCCTTCATCTTGTGAGCCAAAAAATCCAAAGTCTAACTTGAATGCAGAATGCCTTTTCTGTTCCACCTATAACCCTAATTTTTGCACTGCTGCTCTTTTCCCTTCTAAGCCTGCCAATGTGACCTCCAGGGTTCCACCAGCAGTGTCTGCCACAAACTGGGAGGACAGTGCCAATGTAAGCCCAATGTTATGGGTCGGCAGTGTGACCGGTGTGTCCCAGGCACTTACGGATTTGGACCTTATGGCTGCAGCTGTGAGTAGCTAAGGCTGGACCTGCCTTGTTTTCATTTTTTTCCAAAGTGTATGCTTGGCCTCGGTCTCACAGGAAACGCACAAGCACAGTAACAACCAGCATTTAAGACAGAGAAGGATAAAACAGCTGGTTGAAAACAGGGTACTCACAAAAGATGCTAATATTGATGTGGATGAGAGAGAGAGAAAGGATGGATGGATGGATGGATGGATGGATGGATGGATGGATGGATGGATGGATGGATAATGGATAGATGGACGGATGGATGGATGAGAGATAAAGATGATAATTATATACAGTATAAAACTAAGTATAATAAAACTATATTATTGTTTTATAATTATGTAGTCTGATACCTAATGTTTTACACGGACATACAAAACTAAATTTGCTGCAGAAAAAAGGCCCTGAAAAGTATAATGATATATTAAACTATTTTTTAAAAAAACCCAAAGGTTGGGGAAACAAAAGCAGTTCTCAACTAAAACAAAACAAAATAACAAAGGAGAATACTTAAATACCGAATATATCTCTCTTCAGCTCTTTCTCTCTATATTTAAAAACAGAAAGAAGAGAAAAGAAAAAAGGAAGAGAAAGGAAAGAGAGAGGGAGGGAGGGACTAAGATGCCATGACTATCTTTGTTTTTTTTCCAAGCTAGTGATTCAGTTTAAACTGAATTTAGGCCATATGGGACTATATTATCTAGTCTTTCCTCTTCGACCACACAACAGTAATCCAAAGGCTGCAATGAAAATTTTTATTAAGCCAGCATTTAGAGTTTGAGATACGGAAAAAAGATCTCTGAAAAGAGAACAGAATAGTAAACCCCTTCTCTGTTGTGACCAGGAAAACCACCTGTTATTTGCATAATAGCTCTTTACGGGTAGTCCTCGACTTACAGACATTCAGGTAGTGACCAGAGTTACAACAGCACTGAAGAAAGTAACTTACGGATGTTTTTCATACTTACGACTGTTGCGGCATCTTCATGGTCACATGATCAAAACTCAGGCGCTTGACAACGGGCTCATATTTATAGATGGTTCCCAGGGACACGTGGTCACCTTTTCTGACCATCTGACAAGCAGAGTCAGTGGGGCAGCCAGTCTTACTTTACAGCCGTGTTATTAACAAGAGCCGTAGTGGCGCAGTGGTTAGAAGGTAGAACTACAGGCTACTTCTGCTGACTGCCAGCTGTCAGCAGTTTGGTGGTTTGAGTCTCCTCAGATCGGCTCAAAGTTGACTCGGCCTTCCATCCTGCCGAGGTCAGTAAAATGAGGACTCAGATTGCTGGGCGCAATATGCTGACTCTGTAAAACTGCTTAGAGTGGGCTGTACAGCACTGTGAAGCGGTATATAAGTCTACGTGCCAGTGCTATTAACGACTGTAATCATTCATTTAACAACTGTGGTAAGAAAAATGGGGCAAAACTCCCTTAGCAAACTGTCTCGCATAGAAACAGAAATTGTGGGCTCAGTTGTGGTCGTAAGTCGAGGACTACATGTAAAGATGTCCATCCCAGCAATGGCATTCTTCTTCGGTGGACACCCTTGAATAAGGATGAGCCATCCTGACTTCACCACGAGAACAAGGTCTCCATGTTTGTTGATCCCCGAGTTCTACTCTGACTCTTGTTTTCACAGCCTGTGCTTGTTCTGCTGAGGGCTCGATCTCCAAAATCTGTGACCCAATAAGTGGGCAATGCCGATGCCAGCAGGGTATTGTGGGACGCCAATGTGATCAGTGTCCACCAGACCAGTGGGGCTTCCCTCACTGCCGTCCTTGTCACTGTAATGGGCACGCAGAGAAATGTGATTCACACACCGGAGCCTGTCAACAATGCCGAGATTATACAGCAGGCCGCCATTGTGAAAGGTGGGTATAGCAGACCAACGGAAAGTTAGAGTAAAGCCCCCCCCCCTTCACTAAGCCATGTTGTGCTGAGAATTTAAGTATTTCCAATGAATAAAATGTTTTGAGAGATGTATCTATGTATGCTGGTCAGGATTATGATCAAAGATACCAGTGGGTATTCTTCCCCCATCTTGTTCTCAGCCTCAGAGCTATCTAGAAGAGTCTTTCATTTATTTTTCCCCTAAGAATGGCATTATTTTTGCTCCCTAGATATCAATCTTCAAGGAAAGAGTTGAGCTGAGCTTGCAGAATTAATTTAGGAAGAATCAGCGTGACATCTATGAACCAGCTAGAGTCTATAAAGAGATGATAAATAAATTGCATAACTAAATAAACAATTGATGCCATAGGAAATTTAGCAGAAAGTAGGTTACCTGAGAGTTTGAGGGAAAAAGTGTTAAGAAGTAATATGTTGGAGGGTGCTGCAGAGTGCAAAATTAACTTTAATTCCTAATAGAAATTAGGAATTAAAAGTCATGTAATAGGCCATCCAGGGCTGGATCCAGTAAGTAATGTCCATCAAGTAGCTATAGAGCATCTATCTCACACCTTCAGTGGTTGAGAGTCTACCATTATTCTAGGGAAGACAGCTCTTCTTTATCAGGAAGTTCTTTGTATTATTCAGCCCAAATTTCAATCCATCTCATCGGCCCTTTTCTTGTCCTTGATTTTCAAAAGAGGCTCAAAGTTCTTTTGATATAGGTAAACCGTTGTCATACGACCCCATCAGTATTTCTATTTTGTAAGACCTTCTTCTTCTTCATTGGACATCATAATGCTGGTAGTGCTCCACTGAACCCACTGCAGCAGGTTTGATATAATATCAATATAAGTGCCCATTCTGGACAATACCAATTGTGAAAAATAACCTTGGAAAGGTCGTGAAAATTTCAGATGCCCATCATTGCTTGGACTTTTGCTTTACTTGCAGGTGCCTCGATGGATACTATGGAGACCCAGTCCTGGGATCAGGGCAACAGTGTCGGCCGTGTCCTTGTCCTGGATATCCAGGATCTCGGCACTATCACGGCATTTCGTGCCAGGCTGACAGAGAAACAAACCAGATAGTTTGCTTATGTGCTCCTGGCTATACAGGTAAGGTATACAGGAAGTTCTCACTTAACGACCAGTTGCTTAGTGTTGCTCAGAGTTAAGGCAGACCTCCACAGAGCTACTAACGGCCCGATTTTGAAGTTCAGCAGTTGTCCCCCCCATATCATGTGATCACATTTAATAATTGGCTTGTGTTTTTATGGCCGTTTGTGATGTCCCACAGTCCCATGACTCTGATTTTCTGCGGGGTTTTTTTGTTTTGTTTTGTTTTGTTTTTTTTGCTGTCTTTGGCATTTATTTCTGGTTTCTGGCAAAAAAGAATGCCCATTTATTTAAGAAGTATGGCATTCGTTTAACAATTATTGCAAAGGGGGTCATAAAATCAGGTGCAGTGACAAGGCGACCTGTCTAAGAACTACCATGACTTATATCTGTAATTACAGGCTCAATTATGGTTTGTAAGTCGAGGGCTGCCCTTATCCTGGGGCAAGGAAGGTATATGATTACCACAATAATTTAAGTTTCAGAATTCTGTGATGCTCCACCCTTTGCAAGCCCACCTTCTCTAACATCCCTTTGAAGCCTTTTCAGACCCTTGCCACAATTATGCTAAGTAGATCTGCCCAACATGTGACTCACCCAAAGAATACAGTCAGCAGATACTTGAGACCACCTGTGTCTTTCGGAGGTCAATGCAGGGAGCAGAAACAGTAGATCCATGGAGTCCCTGGAGATGTTTCATCTGTACGATTGTGAAATCTTAAGATTTTCAAGCCAATCACTTCATTTATTTTCTGCTGATAATTTTCCCTCCCCTCCATGCATATACAGTACACACCCAATTGGGGCAGTGAATTTGATTATTAGTTAAAATATTTTCTCTGACTTTGGTTAGCAGAATTCATATGAATCCGAATTTCCTCGATCAACTTCAACTCAATCCCTTTGCCAAATTTCTCAGAAATTCAGTAGTGTTGACTTGATTGTGAAGTAGCAGAGGGAGAGGAAGGAGAAGGTTTCATTTTTTTTTTTAATATCTCGTGGATAACTTGCTCTTTTTCCGACAGGGCCACGATGTGATTGCTGTTCCCCCGGCTATTTCGGAAACCCTGGGCAGGAAGGTGGTGCCTGCCGCCCTTGTCAGTGCAACAATAACATTGATCCCAGTGACCCCGAGGCCTGTGACCCACATACTGGCCAGTGTCTACATTGCCTTTACAACACTGATGGACCCCACTGTGCCGAATGTCAGCCTGGCTACTATGGCAATGCCTTTCAACGGAGCTGCCGACGTGAGTGAGATGATTAGACCCAGCTTGCAATCATGGGGAGAAATTTACTCCTGGAGAATGAGAAAGGACTTTTGGGTGGTCTCCTCGAAGCTCTGAGCTCGTGATCAGACTTTATTTAATTTCATTTCTCTCTTTCCTGGGGGAATTATTTTCATCCACTCAGCAGCAATCTGATAAAGTAGATTGGGTTGAACACAGTGGTGGGATTCAGCCAGTTTACACCAGTTTGGCAGAACCGGTAGCTAATTTTTTTTGTTGCCCAGGCCCAGAGTGGACTTCTGGAAACAGCATCCACACAGAGAACCGGTTCTTCACATATTTGAATCCCACCACTGGTTGAACATAGAATCATAGGGCTGGAAGGGACCTTGGAGGTATTCTATCTAGTCCAGTGGTTCTCAACCTTTTTAATGCCGCGACCCCCAACCGGTCGTAAGTCGAGGACTATTCAACCAGTTGTAAGTCGAGGACTACTCAATGGTGCAGCACCGTTTGCAGAATGGGACTTTTGGGGGGCTCAGCAGGGCAGAGACAGCCTGGACAATTAGACTCTATTCAAAAGCCAATAGAATAAAAGGGAGTAGCACAGCTAAGGAAAAGGGGGAAAAAATGGCGGACTGCGTTGTTTGGCGACCCCCGTGAAATGGTCGTTCGACCCCAAATGGGGTCCCGACCCACAGGTTGAGAACCACTGCTCTAGTCCACTCCCCTGCTCAAGCCAGGAGACCGTGCTCCGTGTGGGCCACGCCCGGGGGCAACTCTCCTCCAGGGGGGGGCTGCTGGTTTGCCACCACTGCCTTATACGATCTCGGTCTAATCATTACTTAATCTATTTTTGAATTTAGGTTCAAATAAATCACATTTCTAGTTTCTGTCCAACATTTCAGTTCTCATTCCATGTCAGTAATTCTGTGAACAATCATTGGGACTGGAAACTACTTATATTGGTATCAGTGGGAGAAAATATAGAGCCTTGTTGCATACAGTTTCTGTATCAGAGAAGGTTGTATCCACTTTAAATCAATTTGCCTTGTTGGCCCCTTGTCCCTATGTTTATTGGCATCCCAGCTTTCTCTTAATTTCACCCAATATTTTGTGTTTTGAACTATTTTTATTTGGATTTCTAGAAAAAGAAATAAGCTGGTTTGGGCTCCTTCTCTCTGCTCCCAATTTAACAGTCATGGAATTAATTCCATCTCCCACCAACCCCAGGAGATTCTGGTGCTTTCCCACCTCTTCAAACAGCCCCTCTCTCTCCTTCCCCCCAAAACCACATATACAGTCTGTGCATTTGTCCATCTGAATTAGTGTATGTATATTTGCCTGGTCATCTATAAAACATTCCTCCTGAACAGCTAATAGGTTAATCCAGAGAAGCCTCAAAAATATTCTAGGCCGGGATGTAAATGAACGTGTATATTAACCCAAAAATCTTGGCAGAGCTGCATGCTAGCAAAATGGTGTTTGAGGGCTTTTCCCAAACTGGATTCAGGGGGGGAAAAACGAGACTTCACTAAAAAAGACTTCAGTGAAAGATCCCTTCTGGATCTTACAAGTGCACCTGAAACAAAATCGAGATATTTTAATGCATCCCTTATGCATTGAATGAAATTCTTAAATGCTAAACATTCTGCAGGATCATGAATTGGATCCCACAGGAGAGTGAAACAGAAATGTTGTTTGTGGATTCCCAAAAAAATTCTTGGTAGGAAAAGCTGTGAGCCAGGCAGGCAGGCAGGCAGGCAGGATGTTGCTTTACTGATGCTAATCCTTACTTTTTCTCCCAGGTTGCACTTGTAATGAACTGGGCACTTTGCCCACCCACTGCTCTGAAGGCATTTGCCGTTGCAATCAAACTACAGGCCATTGCCCCTGCCGTGCCAACGTGGTGGAAAAGAACTGCGACAGATGTGCCCAGAACTTCTGGGGTTTTGGCAGCAACTTGGGCTGCCAGCCATGTAACTGTGATCCAACCCATTCGTTACGTTCAGACTGCAATATGGTAAGAGACTAAGACTTTGGAAAGTTAAACCCAAGTGAGAGGTGCTAAAACAGGTCTGGTGACTTTGGGTTTTCTGCTATATTACTGCCCTCTTTCTAAAGTGCTCCCCCCCTTTCTTTATTCAGTTTACAGGGCAATGCCATTGCCAGCCAGGTTTTGGAGGTCGTGTTTGTTCTCATTGCCAAGAAAATCATTGGGGCGACCCAGAAGAGCAGTGCTTAGGTAAATATGGGTATCTAATGTAATCAGGCACTTTCTACCAACACATACAATCTGCACACAGAACAGCATATTGAAAACCCAATGAGATTAGGAGTTGGATGGATGGGAGGTTGTTCTCATGGGAATAAGTCCCGACTTGTGCCAGACCGTAAACCAGCTTTCCCTGATCTGGTGTATTAGATGTCTCCTGCCGTCATTCTTATTAGAATCAAAACTCTTAGATTCTAATCCAAGCTAGAAAATGGAAATACTTCATAAAAATGAAAATGTGAAATATCTCATACAATTGTCAGCTTCTAATGAGGGATCGGAATATATTAGTTTTATGGTATTTCAGGTTGCTTGTTTATGCCCCCTGTTTTTGTACCCATGCCTGATTTTCTTTATTGTTACTTATTTCTATTAAATAAACATCAGGTTTAAATGTTGCATTCACGATAAAAAATAAGAAGAAGAATTAAAGCTGTATATTTGGGAAGATGCCAAATTGGTATCTTCCTCTAACCTCCATCTGCTATGAAACCTATTCTATAATATAGTACTTGACCTAAAAGGTAAAATAAATAAATAATAATAACACCAATTAGATCAGAACCAAAAGGAGCTTTAGGACTGTGATTAGTACAGAATCTCCATTCTGATTAGTAGTAGTATCAGTTATAATAATGAGTAATAGTGATGCCTATTTGTTTGTTTGTTTTAACCATTTAGTCCAGTGGTTCTCATCCTGTGGGTTGGGACCCCATTTGGGGTCGAACGATCATTTCATGGGGGTCACCAAACAATGCAGTCCGCCATTTTTTTTCCCCTTTTCCTTAGCTGTTCTACTCCCTTTTATTCTATTGGCTTTTGTAAGCCAATAGAATAGACTCTCTTGAATAGAGTCTAATTCTATTGGCTTTCAAAAGCCAATAGGAATTGTCCAGGCTGTCTCTGCCCTGCTGAGCCCACCAAAAGTCCCATTCTGCAAACGGTGCTGCACCAGTTGAGTAGTCCTCGACTTACGACCGGTTGAGTAGTCCTCAACTTACGACCGGTTGGGGGTCACGGCATTAAAAAGGCTGAGAACCACTGATTTAGTCGTGTCTGACTCTTGGCGACTTTATTGGCAAGTGCTTTCCAAGCTTCTTTGAATTGTTGGATGCTTAACTTTGTATCAGATTTGAACACAATACAGAAACACGAATTAAGAGAGAAGGAGTTCTTCAGAATATAAAAAACAAAAATAACACAGACTAAGCCCGGTTCTCCAAATCTATTTAGGATTCTGCCCAGAGCAGAGATTTCCCCCTACATTTCTTTTTAATGATGAATTTTTAGTCATGATGAAT